GTTCCTGTTGACATTTCACAAGAAGATCAAGAGGAAAGGCTTGTGGGCGTCACCATAATTTGGTTTGCATATTATCCTGAACGAAGCCATACCAGAAGCCCAGAGTTAATCAGACACATTGATTTAGGGGAATAATTACCTTCCAATCAGATTAGATGCTAAACGATGTTAGAGTTTGGAGTTTAACAAAACTCGTAAAGTAAATCTGTTTTCAAAGTGGAGCGCACAGTGAGTTTAGTTGGAAACAACAAGCAGGAAAGACTTGAGGTAAGTAATGATGCGTAAACTAAAAGAAAATTTCCATTCTACATGCAGCACGAGGTAGGAGACTGAGTAGCTCATTTTCGTTCAATTTGTGCAATCACCAATTTCAACCCATTTAACTGAAATATCATTTAAAATCTGAAAATATCCTTAAATCTCCCGGTGTTACAGTGGAAAGATACAATTTCTGTATGGCTACAAATGATGCCAAGAAAAAAAAAGAACTGTGTAATTTTGTCAGTTTATCCCCCACAGCTGGCGCTAACATTGCGGTCCATCATTTACCTCACCACATCATTTACCGCCGTATACCTATGCTATTGGCTTTTAAGGAAGACGGCGGCAGCAGTTTCGGCCATGACAAAGGTGCCGATCTTATGTGAAGGATTAGTTCATGCTTCAAGCTCTCAGACTCAGCTGATTTATGGGCTCAACTGTAAGATAGAAGTGATTTATGAGAATCGTAGACCACTTTCAGCTTTGGAACTCACCAGCATGTTTGGGGTTGATGTTGGAGAAGGCTAATAAGCATGGACCAGTGGAAATCCCACAAATCTGGACATTTTGGATCATGAGAGTACCAGCAGAACTCAAGGATGAAGAGAAAAACAGTCTGCCTGCACAAAAAACAACTGTGGCCTATATCTGAATCTGGCCTCCCTGTTTGGCCTTGAATAGGACAAACTTATCAAACTGCTCCTGGGGATGTGTAAACTAAGAAGGCTCTGCTCTATCCACCCCCGCCCCCCGAGAACTTTTGTGAACGCTTAACAGAACTGTACCGCTGACACATTAACATCTTATCAGGACTATGGTGCTATCTGGAAGTCCTTCATGGACAAATCTCATCGTCTTGTTTTCAAACGCATATGTAATGTGTTAATGTGCCTGCTCGTAGAGGTTTTTTATGTCTGAAATGGTGTCCTCACAAGGATAAGGTGTGAAGAGATCTTTTTTTTTAATACCACTAAACTATCCTCATGGTCTTTCCCCTTTTCTATCTAAAGAATAAGGGGCCACGCTCCTAGGAGCTGCAGCCACGTGCACGCCGCCCATCTTTCAGACGACTGTACAGAATAAAATCTCGCTGTACTTCAGTGCAATGATAATAAAGCTTATTCTGATTCTGATTCTGATGGAGCAGGCAGCCCTCACAAACATAGTGACACAGGAGGGGAACAATTTATCTGATTGTATTATGATTTTCACTGTGGTGAGCACAGGATTGGACCTTTAGAGTATGAGGGCCAGTTGATCAAACTATGAACTGATTGTTGCTAAATGTAATGTCCTCCTTTATACTTCATGATGACTTTGCTGATGTAAAAAAAAAAAAAAGCACCAGAATATGGAGGGTCTTTGCAGGGTGGCCAGATTAAAAGTGCAGTGGACTTTGCATATGTGTAACAGTTTAGTGCACAAAACTTGTGTGGTTTATTACTGTGATGACAAAATATGACGGCCCTGGGTCAGTAGAGGTCTGAATACTCTCTAAATGAAACAACTTAAGTTACGATCTCTGGTAGTGAGTGGTTGATGTTTGACATGTTTTTTATGTTGGCCTGTTTGTAAAACTATTTTCATGCACACTGATTCATTGCCCACCTTCGCACACATCAACCTGCCTCAGCCTGTTCTGCACCCACCTTAGCAGCTACCCTTTACTTTTAAAATCAAAAAGGATGTGTGATGGGTTTGAGACACCCACAACCACTCTGACTATTTTGAGAAATAATTAGTCACACAAAGAAGATACGTCATGAATGCTGGTGGCCGACTAACAAGAGATGCAGCCTTTAGGTTGAGGCAGGGGTTGAAACAAGGTTTTAAACATAACCTGGCTTAAACAAGTGTTGGCATAATATTCTTGCACGAAGCTGCATCCTGTGGTTTGTGAGAGTACTGACAGGGTGAGTGTACAGAGCATGACGAGGGTATTTCAGAAGAAAAAATTAGCTGGAATAGCTAACAGTGCAAAGAGCATAAACTTGACACGACTGTTTCACACTGAAGCAAGTTTTCAAAGGTTGCTGTAATCCAGACATGGTCAAATGGATCACTAGCAAATGGTCCTCTGCACATCAGTTTGACTGTAAACGACTGGATCAGGTGCCTCAAAATTAGGACAAACCTTTACAAAATTAAAGAAATGCTAAGAGTTTACGGAGTCATGTTTAGCTTTAATGTGGAAACAGGTTAACTTTGGTTCTGAATTCACAGGTCGTGTGAAAACCGTGTTTGTATATTGAAGTTGAAAATTGATCAGTGAGCTTCAGATTCTTTTTGACTCTCATTGCGTAAAAACGTGGGGAACTGGAAATACTCGACTTTTGCCTGTCCACCCGTCCATCCAGCCATCCATTCATTTTGTGATCTTGAGAACTTGAAAAATAAATCAGGTACCAACTTCCTTTTTTGTGTGTGGCTATATCAAAACATAAGAAAGATTGGAAACTTTGCTTTCTGCTCAAATGATTTGGGCGGCCGGTGTGGTGGATGACAGAGGTCACCATTGTATCCCCCCACCCCGCCCCCTGGCCCCTCCATTGCACCTGGTGGTGGATAAAGAGGCTCCCTCCACTTGCCATAATCTGTCACTCTGCTCCGCCTCAGAAAAGCAAAACTACCTCTGTTCTTCTCCACCATGGAACTCCAATGCACTTGATTATCTTGCACCTAAAACATTTAGGTTTACTTGCATTCCCTTTTCAACTCCAGTCCAAAAAAAAACCAAAAAACATTCACTATTGAGATCCCACAGCGACGGGACATCAGTGACAGCTTGTTTATTTTCTAATCGATCATGAATGACATGAAGAGTGTAGCAAGGTCATCATCCAGTGTGAAGGGGATCTAACTGGATGGATGGTAAAGGGTTTTAAATTACATATGTTTGTTTTGTAGTTTTTAAAACGTGCAGTAGGGTCAGTTGCTACTATTGATTGACTACTATAGTCACATCACTAATAAATGACTGAACTAATTGCAAAGTTAATGTTATTACATGCTGGATAGCCTATACATAAAAGTAATCATTGCAATGGCATAAATACTGAACAAAAATAAATGTATGTTCATGTTTTTTGTGTCCCTTATTTAAAAACATGTAAGCAAAAAGTGTGACTAAATGCAAAGTAGCACGTTGGTTTACTTACAGAAACAGCTGAACTGACTAAAAATAGGTTCAACTTACCGGCCATGTTTGTTTACCTACAGCCTGCCCAATGTAGGTCAGTCACATGACTCAAGTTTCCATGTGGTTTTCAGCTGCTTCTGACAAATGCTTTGATTATATTAAGTGTGAACCAGCGTGAACTCTTTCCAGCTTCACCATTTGTTACATTTCATACTTTGCGACGAGTACCTTTAACGCAAATCAAAGTAGTGCACAAACCACAGCCTGATGCATAATGCGCTTCCTACGGTGCGAGCAGAACTCTCCTCTCCAGCTGTGGCTCTGCTTTTCATCTGTGAATCATTTGTTTGTGTCTCAGTTGAATGGACTCTTTAGAGACGCTAAAGCTGCGAAGACACCAACCAAAACTTTGAGTATCTCTGGTCGGCTGCAGCCTCTCCCATGATGCTTGCAGGGAAAGTTGGTTGTTGCAAATCAAGCTGTGTGTGCGTACATTTATGGTAGACTACAAGAGGAAGTGGGTCACAAAGTCTCAGGAGAGCCAATCTGGTAGTTTGAACCTTCTCTCCATCATACATGTTTAATAATGGATTGTAACATTTTTGAAAGTCTCTGCCTATTCACATGCATTAAAAAAAAACAGTGGGGGAAAATGTGTGCATTCACACTGTGGACCACATAAAGTCCTGTGCTTATTTCATATTAACACATCATTAAACATTTAATTCCAAAGGAAAATAAGGAATTGTCTATGGTATCCTGCTTTAATAAGTTTTTTTTTTAAAGTCTCATATTTAGGAAGTGTCCTTTATCAATGTGGTTTACCTTTATTTTGATTTTTTACAAATTTATGTGGACTTTTATTTTAATATATTTTCAATCATCAGAGAAATTCATGTGAACTGCAGATTGGGGGTCTATTTATTTATTTATTTTTTTTAATTTACGTGGCTGATCTTTTTATTTATTAATTTATTCCACATCCATGGCTACACAGCCATGTGCTGGGTGGGGCTTTGTCTCACTCTTTCCTCCTCTCCAGGCTGCAAAGACAAATCAAACCAGCACTTCCATTCAGCCTGCGAGGAGAACAGCTCCTCTTGCAGCGTCCACGCGCGCGCGCACACGCTCTCCATCACACACACACACACACACACAGATCTGAAACACTTTGGGAAATCTTCTAATGCTAATGGATCCAACAACAAGTTCACAGTTCGTTCTTCTCTTGCATTTGCAGCGAAATTAACAGTGATGAGTGATTCACGCGCGTTTTTTTTTTTTTTTTTTTTTTTTTTTTGCACTTTTGGATGTAAACAGTTTTTCTTTGGGTGTTTTAGACTCATTCATCACTAGATTCCCCACAACTTTTTCTTGTAAAGATCCTTTAAATGTATATGTATGCAGTTTGCAATCATTTTTTATCGCTTTAAATCTGTATGCATGAGCTGAAAAACTCTGTTTTCTCGCAGTCGTGCTCAACAGCTGCTGCAATAAAAGACTTGAAATCTGCTCGTTTTCCTGAAAATAAAAGTTCTTGTCAGTCTGCCTCTGGAGCTCTTAATGGATCTCAAACGCGTAATTTACGCACGAGGCTGACCTGAGTCGGTGTAGCGCGGTCTGGCCAGGTCCCTGAAGTAGTAGATGAAATCCAGGCAGTTGTCGTCCTGCACCTCCCCCTTGGAGCACAGGTCGGAGAGCAGCTCCAGCGCCTTTCGACAAATCTCATCCTCTCTTTCTGCAGGCATTGCCCTCCAGCATCCTCCTGACTGCTCCGGCTGATCCTCCTCCTCCTCTCTTTGTTACTCACGCGCTCACACAATCACTCGGTCATCCAAAGCGCATCAAGCAGCGTAAAGACGCACGGCGGCTACACCCCTGGATGGTTCCTGCGCGCTCGACGCATCCGCGAAATCCACAGAAACTCTGAAGTTTGGATGAGTTTAAATGAAAGCACGAGGTTCAAGAAGTTTCTGAAAAAGACAAAATCTCATCTGTTCTGGGGGGAGTCCTTGCTCGCATGCTTTGGTTTTGTTGTTGGGGAGTAAAAGCCGTCTCCTCCCTCCGTTCTCTCCTCTTTCCTTGCTGTCCGGTGCTCAGTGCTGCTGAATCACGCACACTCCAGGCTTCAGCAGCGCCAGTCAAGGTCCTTGAATGAATGCGTGGCTTTCTCTGAGTTGTGGAGAGACAGACAGGAAGTTCTGCCTCCACCAACACCCCCTCCACCTCCACCACCTACCCAAGCATCAGTTCGGTCCTCTGAGGGAGAGATTGAAGCATCCTCTCCTCCTGAACAAGATGAAACTGTCTGTTCTCTCTCATCATCACAAATAAAGTCAAAGATCTGCTCCCCCTCACGTAAACACAAATCCTAGCATTCCTTGAATGCATATCGCCCACCACCTCTGACAGATTTTAGACTAAGAACCAGGGGTGATCCTAGAATCTTCCCTTAAGGGGTGCCTAGCCCCCAGTGCTGACAATGTTTCGTGGCTTGGTGGACATTGGCATCAGAAGCATTCGTGATATGGGTGGTGGTGGTGTGGGGGGGGGGACATACTGGTTCCTGCATTCTGGTGCATTTACCTACATAAGTAAACACATAATTCAATAACTATTTTAGAGAGCTCGGCACAAAAAGAAGTAGCGCTAAGCTAGCAGCTTGCAATACAGACGTGCTAACTAAGATGCTACAGATGTAGCACTCTGCTTTACATTACACAACCTGATAAACACTTTGCACAAAATCAGTTTAGTGTTAATTGATCATAACAAACAAAGACTATACAACCAGAAGTTACAACGTATATCTACATACCCAACACACAAAACAAAGTGCAACTAGCTTCAAGCATTAACTTTTAATTTAACCATTAAGCATACAATGACAGAAAATGGAGGATTTACCTGCAGTACCATTGTAAAGATGAACATGCAGTACTTCCTGTTTACCACTGTTGTGTTCAGCTCCTCGTGGGGTCGGCCGCAGGGCTTTATCCATATTTTGCATTTTTCCAGACTCAGTTTAGGTTTTGGAAATGGAATAAACTGAATTCCACCCAAAGCAGGGCTATTCAACTAAACTGTTCTGGAGGCCACAGTTACTGAAAGCCAGCAGCTCAGGGGCCGGACATCCAGCAATTAAATTCATTATGTAAATAAACAAAGTATTAGAAATATCTGTTACCTTTTTAATTTGTTTACTTTGTTGCATTGAATCATAAATACAATTACCAGAACTCAAGCCCAGAACCGCCTAAAAAAAAGATAGATAGATAGATAGATAGATAGATAGATAGATAGATAGATAGATAGATAGATAGATAGATAGATAGATAGACAGATAGATAGACAGACAGACAGACAGACAGACAGACAGACAGACAGACAGACAGA